CAATCTTTAATAACTATTAGATGTGTCTTTTATGGGAAATGTAAGATTCTTCCATTGAAGTTTGTGTATGACTGTTAATGGGCATTATACCAAATAGCATAAGACTAGTGAGAACCAGAGGTGTGTGGTGCATTATGGGACTTTTCTGCAGAGTCGGGCAACAATCTATGAGGATTATTAGGATGGTTTGGCATAGTTAAAGAGAGTTTATCCGCTGAAGAATGGGAAAAATATTTGTAAAGGAGATATGGAATATTTAAAAACAACCAGTTAGCAATGGTTTCTGCAAGAACCTGATTATGCAGTCTATAATTGTGTATGATTATGTAAGTAAGTAGGTCTTAAAAATTATAACAGTTTATGGCTGGATGTTCCAATTCTTGCCTGTTTATGAGTGGTTCTCTTTAAGTAACAACTAAGAATAGCTATATACAGGGTAGTAGAAAACCTAAACAATTTGCAAAAAAATGATTGCATGACACAACATTCTAGGTACAGAAATGATTGCTGGTGATTAGTGGAAATTTAGGATACTCCAACTTCTTATGTTATTATTCACTTAAGAAAACTGGAAAAAAAACATCCAGTTGACGGCCATCTGGAGGCAACATGCTGTATATTAACAGTTTCATGGTGTATTAATGGCAATCATTTTCAGAACAACTGCAGTAAATAATGACTATACAAATAATAAAGGAAAATCGATAGTATGCCATCTTCCATTCTTACTGGAACTAGAGAAAAGCTTTTGTGAAAGGTCAGGTGGCAGTAATAGACATTAAGGAAGATGGAATGTGCCATTTGGCATTTACTTCTGAATAAATCTGATGATTCACTGTAAGATACTGTATCAGACGAAGCATTAATCAGTGATCAGTGCATCATTTACATCCAAACAAAGGCCAGCAATTCCCTCAGAGCTAAGAGGAACCACATTCACACAATGTTCCCAACATATCTCTCCCTCTGTAACCTTTAACTGTATTGCCTGTAGTTTTCCAAATCTGCTGGTGGATATTGCCAAGATATTATACATGGCCATGCATACAGAAACTATCCGACTGGATTTATTAGTGAATTGGTGAAAGCCAGACTGGCTCACTTGACAGGATTGGCGTGATGTAGAATGGCTGGATCATTACCTGATTAGTAATGTGTGATATCACTGTAAACCAGTGCACCTAAAATATCTGTATACCTATCATTTCTGTTCTTAGTCCTGTAGCACAACGTAATTGTTGATGAAAATGTATATAGAGGCAAACCAATACTGCAAAATTTTATTATCAGAATAAAGTATTATTTATATGTTACAGAAATGTCTATAGTATATAAAAAATATATATTATACAACAAAGTATACATTATAAAATAAAATAGTCAGTTTTAATTGCTCAGGTTTGTGACAGGTTTAGGCATCATGGGATGGAG